GGGGCGGAGAGACGCGCATCGGATCGAGGAGCAGAGAGGGGGGAGACGAGTCCAGTCCCGGCGGCCGGTGTGTGTCTCCCCGCGGCGCCACCCAACCAACTTATTGGACCACACGGAGGAGGAGGAGGAGGACGCGGGCAAAATGAAAATGAGAGGAAAAAGGTGAGAAATAAAAAGACATTACGGAAGGGCGAGTGGCGGTGAGCAGGCGGAATGTGTTTTGTGTTTTTCCGCGAGCGACTCGATTGCTGTTGTTGCTGTCCCGGTGCAGCGCGGCCCAGGCTGCCCGCAGCCACCGCCGTCAGCTTGTCGCCCCAGACCGGGGCTCGACTGCAGCCAGATAAGCGCAAGATAGATTCGAGGAGGCCCTTAACTTTCCTCCTCCCCCTCTGTCCTTCCGGGTCCTGCGTAAGTTCAACCCGCGCGCATGTACTACACTCTACACAACAGTGCCCGGCGAGCGAGCGGGGAGCAGGGAGGGAATTCCTTTGACGTGGAGGCTCGCGGGACCATCGCATGATGCCCAGCAGCATGCTGGACCTGCATGTATACAGTGTTGCATGTCGTGACTGTACAGTCGCACCCGGGTGCATGCATCACTAGATAATTGGTATACATCGAAATAAGCCGACAAAGTCTGGCGGGGGCGAGTCACAACGTTTTCCTCCAAACCGATTACCGAAAGGAAACTTTTCCCAGGACGATCCCCGCGCACCATCTTCTCCTGGTACGAGGCTTGAACTTGAAGTACGCGAAAGGAGACCATTGAGGCAGGTGTGCGAGCCGCTCCAGCCTTGAATAGAAGCTATAGAGAAGAGAGAGAAAAAGAAGACGCGGTGACGTTTGATGGTGGTTTTCGTTTGAAGCGACCATCTCCATTATCCGCTGTCCCGCCGCCGTCGGGGCTCATCTCCCATCTCATCTGCCACAGTTGGCTACAGGAGCAGCAGCGCACCTCGCGGGCAGGTGTGACTCAGGGCGGCCGTCGTCGGCGGAGCAAAAGTGAGCCTAACAAATCGGCCGGGATAGAGATAGAGAGCGCTTGAGGCTTGAGGCGGCGGCGGCGGCGGCGGCGAAAAACCACTTGCGCCTTTCCTCGAACGCTCTTCTCCTGCTGACGCCCGTCCGGTGCCCGGTGGGGTCCTCGCGTCAAAGTCACGCGGCTGCCGTGACGCGTGTGATCGACTGGGAGCCGACGGGTTAAAAATCTCACCGTCATCTTGTGTGGACGTCACTTACATAGCTGGTCCAGCCACCATATCCGCGAGCAATGACATTTCTACCCGCGTCCTTTTCTTTCTGGAGGCAAAAAACTAAACAAAGAAAGGGAAAAATAACATTTGTTCACAATTTTCTAGATTTGAGTAACCTGCTTTTCTCAGTGTGCTGGCTCTAGGTCAGTCCTGGGTGCGAGGTGAGGGAGGGTGCGGACATCCGTCCGCCGCCGCGGGCCTTCGCTCTCTTCCGCTGTCGAACGCGTCGCGTAGCCGCGCACATCCTAATCCGCGGATCGGGGCATAGAGCCGCCCGACCCCGCTCAGGACTGCCACTCTGCGGCCTGCCCTGCAAGTCCAAGAAAAGTGGTCCTCGCCAACGGGCATAACAGTGAACCCCGGCGCCCTCCAGTGGCCCCTAGTGATTTTTGAGCCACGCGCCGGCCGCCGGCCGCAGCAGACGACTTGTCTGGTCCGACTGGAACGCGACGTCGCGGCCACACATGGAGAGGGAGGGGGGAGGGGGGTCGCAGCCGACAGCCATCACCCAGAAAAAAATAAATGGAAAGCTGTAGTTATAACCATCGCCTACAGCTAGCTGAGGGATAACCATTACAATGACGGCTAGAATGCGGTTTTGATAACTAAAATTAAGTTTTTCTCACGCCGGATGGTGGTTGCCGCAATCGTCATTTTATGGTTGTCTCTGAGCTAGCCATTTGATGTGGTTGCTACGCAGCTTTCCATTTTTCTCGGTGGCTAGGTGTGGGTGGCTTAGTGGGGCAGTTAGTTTAGTAGTATGCCTGGTGGCGAGCAGCTCCGTGAAACAGCAACACAAAAACGATATAATATAGAGAAATGTGAGTTTGTTTAAAATTGGAAAACCGGTCCGAACCGGATCGTCGCTGGTCGACGAATTTTATCGATCCACACCCGCCCCAGTGTAGTCCCGTGCGCGATTTCGATCGATTGGCTTGCAATATCAGCGTGAATAAGAGAAAAGAAACGACGGGTGGATTGGTCCAGTTCCTGTGTCGTCTGCACCCGGTCCAATCCAGGTTGATATCAACAAAAACCTAGCAGCAGAGGTAGAATTTGGAGATGGAGAGAAGGGGTCTCCCTGTAGAACGAGCTAAGGGAAGTACAGGGTGGTCCACAGACCCCTTCCTTTATTTTGCTTATACTGTACCGCATGCAGACGTGCGGGTAGGGCTTGCATACCGTCGCTCACCGCACCGCGGCGCCTTCTGGCCCCGTGCGCGTATGCAAACCGCCCGCACGCCTGCTTCCGGTACAGTATAACCAAAATAAAGGAAGGGGTCTGTGGACCACCCTGTATACTGCTACATAAATGCAATTTACGTGTGTTGTGGCAGTGTAGTCGTGCGCGTTGGTCATTGCCATTGGATAAGACTCGCGGTCAAACCGCGGTGGTCGTGAATTTGGCACCCCATATTTTGCACGCTCCGCGCGAACAGAGGGGGAGGAGGGGAGGAGGGGCGTGACGAATAAGGCCTTCCCTCCTCGCGGCTGTGTGATGTGTGAGGGAGTGAGACGGACGGGAGCAGTGGACGCAGGACTTCCCTCCCCACCCTCCCCTCCGCGAGGACTCCCGCCGGCGCGGTGCCAGAGACGCAGCAGCTGCGCACGCTGTCCGCACGCTGTCCGCACGCTGTCCGCACGCTGTCCGCACGCGCACGCACCGCCCAGATGCTCGCCGGAGACCAGATCAGGAAATCAAACACTCGACGACTTCCTCCGCTGTGCGCTGCGCCTCTGCTCCTCCTTCGGGGCGGCGGTGGCGGCGGCGCGGAGAGCATCGAACCACCAAAGAGATAAAAATAATAATAATAGGTAAAGAATGTGCGACAGTCGCGCACCTCCGCGCGTATCCAAGTGTCGGAAGTGGCCGCACCGCACTCCATCTTCAGGCGTTGGGAGCAAGAGAGACCGTCTGGCCAGTGCGTTGGCCGGGGGTAGGAGTCGCCGATGCTGGCGCTGCTGGCGACCTCCAACCCGACGGGACGGCGCGATGCAGGAGAGGATGTAGTGCCCGGGGTTACCGACCTGCTCCTGCCCACCGCGCTCCAGCCAGGCCAGGTCGGGTGTCTGCTCGCCGCGACGGCGTCGGCGGCTCTTTGAGGCATCATACCGGTTCCAAAAGTGCACAGCACACACGGAATGGCACCGCATAGAGTGGAAACGCAGAGGCAGGACTTGCAGCATTTTCAGAAGCGCATTCAATTATTGTAGTGCCTTGTCAAAGTAGACGAATTCAAAAAAGTCGGCAATGCTTGGAGCAGTCTAGTGCCTTTGAAACCCTTTCTGTTTCCGGTGTACTACCTGCCGCGCCTACTCCGGCGGCGGAACGGGGCTGGGCTGGGCTGGGCGGACGCTGGCGTCACCTTGATGGTCGGACCTCTGCCATGCATGATAATTTTGCTGATCGAGGAAATAAAATTGAATGGGAGGATGCGTGGCACACAGGACGCGCGGGACGCGCACTGCTCTCAAGCACAAGCGCGAATTTTGAACACCCTCGCCTCTCCAATCCACACAGTGTTATTGTTCTTTTCCTAGCGCGCCGAAGACACATGGTCCTTCCCCGCGCGGGAGTAGCTGTCCTCGAGGTCCTGCTGCACCGCATTCAATGTTGATCTGGGCCAGGTCATTCCCTTTGCCAAAACGGCGCGGGGGTCGACGCGGCGGGAAGGACCCGCCGACCCCGACCCGCCACCCGCTCCCGCTCACCTTCACCGAATGGGTCCTCATTATTATTTCGGCACACTTCGCGTGAGCGCACGTGTCCAGCTGCCCGGCCTGGCCCGGCCGACGCTCGCGATATCGCTTCTCGTTCGCTGCCCTGCCTCGCCTCCCGCAGCCGCTCTCGGACCGTCGGCTCGCGTCGCCTACTGGTGCGTGTCTTCCCTTCCGCTAGAGCCACAGGGAAGGCGCCTGGGCTGGGCGGAGAGTCACAGTGAGCAGGCGTTTTCACGTAGAACTACCTTTTTGTTCTCTGTTTTTGTCGCGGCCTCTATTGTTTTCATTTTAGCTGGGAAAAGAGGGCCAGTAGGTCAGGAGGAAGGAGGAGAGGTGAGGTACCAGGAACGGGTGCGTTTGAAATGGGATGATTGACATATGAATTTTAAGTTGATTGATTTCTTTACTTATATTATAGTTCAAGTTGTGGTTTTGAATGTTAGACAACGCTGATGGCAGGATGATTCAAGACCAAATTTAGGTCTTGTTGTAAGTTTTTACTAGTTGTCAGTCTTTTGGTCATGCAGTCTGCACCATGGTGCTCTCCCTTGTCATGGCATACTATATGAACAAGTTTTAAGTTTGCGGAAGTAAACAATAGAGTAAAAAAATATAAAGCGTTAATGGCTTCATTCTTTTGGACAGCTAGCTTAGCAGCATCAAGTAAAGCTGGACCTATTCTTCTTGATCTTTCAATTCTAAAAATAGAAACATTGTAAAATTATGTCTATTTCTTCTTAAGTTGAGAAAGCATAAAAATAAAAAAAAAGAGTTTAAAAATTCTCATGTACCTGTGATCTAGATTCCAAGTGGAAAAGACAATCCTAGCCTCCTTACTTTCATACGGGTTGATAAAGTGCTTAGAGTTACCTACAGCATTATCTATATGTAAACAATTTTTTTCATTCCATTTGCCTTGGCATTGAAACTGTCCATTTCCGTCACAGTAGCTCTTCATATTTCCTTCATGCTGAAACAGAAAGGTGCAAAATAGAAATTGATAATTGACTTTAAAAGAAAATAATCAAAAATACAGATGCCAAAAGGATAGAAACTTACAGAGGAATAATGGCGACTAAAGTAACAACCAAAATGACAAACTTTTTTCAGCCAAGTTTTGAAACAATTAAATGTTGCATCAAGCTTGGCTCGAGCCTTTGAATCTTTAATGTATAAAGAAGATTTTTTAATATCATCCTGGCTTTTGTATAAGTAGCCACGGATTCTTTCTTGACTTCTTTTAAACATAAAGTCTTCTTTGGTGCAAGCTAAAGTTTCTAAACCTAAAAGAATAACTAGTTATAATACTAAAAAATATGAATGTATTTTTTGATTTTATGTATGTTTAGAAGTATGAGTACCATCAAACCATGCTGGATCTTCCTCACGCTTACTGAGCTTGGCTCTTTCTTGAATTGATTGTTGTTCAAGGACTGATGATATATCCCTTATCTTTGATTTGAGATCTTGACTAAGAAAGTCAGAGGCTAATTTCCCAACATTTAAGTAATCCTTGTGCACTGAACATAGCATATTGTAAAGCAATTCATATCCTTGAAAACGAGCAAGAAGATAAGACACACACATCGCTCTCACAACCAAACTTAGAAACTTAGTCCGGTAAGCATACCTGTTGTAACAGACTGATTCAAAGGTGATAAAATAAATATAGTCTGTGGTGCGATTGTTCTAAAATATTCTTCGTCATCTACAATAGTTCCATCTTGCAGTCTTACAATTATTGAGGATGAATCAAGCTACGTAAGAAATAAAATTGATAAGATAAAATTAATGAAAGTAAGGCTTGGGTAGAAGGAAAGGAATTCAATAAATTTCATGTCTAAGTAAGCTTCAGAAAAATTAAGGAAAATGGGACAACACCTACTTTTAACTTTGCACATCCTTTTGTCTTCAATTGTTGCAGGTTTTTGCAGGCAACACCGCATATTCGGGACCTGTTCGCATCAGTGACCTTGTAGCCATTCATTTCCTGCAAAGATGACCCACAATGAGACGATGACAACAAAAGGAAAAAACAAGAGGAATGCTGAAAGCCTTGAATGGAGCTGCTGGGGTCTTTAACCCACTTAGAGGTTAACCCTTCTTTGTCTAAAACTGACAATATAATCAAAACCAGAGGATTTTAATATTAAAAGAGATTCAAGTATTTATTCTTAACCTTTAAAATTAATGGACATTAATAATCCTTCTTCATCATATTCGAAGCCAAAACTGCAAATGTCAAGCAAAAGTAGTTCTGCTGATCCCGCTTCTACTGCTTTGTTTGGGTAAACAAACACACGACCAACGGTGGAACACGAAACCTGCATGAAAACTAAATTCACTGGGTGAAAAAATAGAAAAAAACAAGAAAAAAATATTCAAAGACAGCAGTTTTCTTGATTAAAAAATAAGAAGACATTTTTGATTGGCACAAAACAAATTTTAAAACCCTAGCTGACTTGCTGACTTTTTGGCCAACCTGATTTTTCAGTCGGAGATCGAATCAATTGAGTTTTCAACCAAGGCGGTGATGCAAATGGCGACCAGGAATGTAAATTTCGCACGGCTGGAGTTTTAAGTTTAATGTGGTGTTGTGAAAATGTGCACGTCTTGATGTTGTCAAACCTTACTGAAATTGTGAGTTCATCAGCCCGTATATCGGTATCATCCCACAATGTGCCTTGTTGTTTTCTTTCTTGATGAGTCACATAAACCTCTTATCTCACATCCTCAGTGATTCATTGAACTACTATCAATTGCAGGTTTACCTCTTTACTGATCCCCATCAAGTTGAGGGTTTTGAATTGAGAGGATCTACGTTCTAATCAAGATGGAAGCAAAGGAATTCCAATCTGTTCTTACGGGGCCTTTGGTCAGCACCCACTTTGCTGTCGATTGGTCAGCCGATGACAGGGTGTCTGTCATAACTGATAAAGGACTTCAAATAATGGTAAGTGGAAATTGTAGGGAGTATTCCTAATCATCGTAGGATCCGCCTAAAAAACATTGTTTGAGCTTCGGCTATGAGTTGTTAGAATTTGGTGTTCACAAGTTATTTTAGAGAAAAATGGGATTATAAGTTGTCGCATCGAAGCCATTGTTTTCATAACTATTCCGGATGGCCATTTGGATAATGTTTTGTTTCCCCACATGATAAAAATCAGTTTTCCCTTTACCCAGGTAAGATCCCATATATATCCCAGATATTTTCCCATTTTTTATTTTTTATCAGCCAACTTTGCTTGTCTTTGGATTAAGTAATTAGTAGTAATATCTGGACTCGTTTCACCACAGATGAAATTTCATTGCAACAAACTAAGATGAACTGTGACCAATATGCAACTATTAATTGTGTGTAGATGTTCCCATGTTCCACTTTGTTTGTTGTTAATGATTATTTTTCTGTGTGTTGTCAGAGCCCTCATGCCCGAGCTGGAAAGTCAAGAATTGGAATTATCACACTCATCTTTGCTGTTCTTCTGGCTTCGTTGCAACCTATATCAGCCAATGATATTACAGCTGGAGTGTTTGGTTCAGTTCGTGCTGTTCTTCCGGCTGCTTTTGGTGACTTTGACTCAGATGAACTAACTGATATGTTTGTACTGAAAGACATGGGACATAAGGGCATGGCTGTTGAAATTATGTTAGCCTCCAATGAAGAACCATTGCTACGGCCTAACAAAACTTTGTACTGTGCATTCCCTCAGTCAAAGTTGACTAGTGTTGTTCCAGGAGATTTTGATGGAGATGCTCTAATGGACTTACTTGTCACTGGGCATCCATTAGATGGAACGCCAGATGAAACACGAGTTTATATTTTATGGGGAGGGATGCATAATTTGACTTGTGCTGATGAGAAGAAATTCTTGTTCCAAATGAAAGGTGAGCCTTTGGCCATAGACTATGATGGAGATATGATTATTGACTTGTTTGGGGCTGATGAAGGTGGCAATAGGACTTTCTGGTTATTTAAGACCAATAGAACTTTCACCAAAAAGCCAATGGATGCTCATGGTCATGTACTTGGTAAACTCAGAGACATTCACTCCCATGCATTTTTGGATGTGAATGGTGATTTTGCTCCTGATCTTATTTTGACATCAGTTGAAGAAATTGAAGTTTGGTACAAAGTGGATGACGAATTCAGACTTAATCACACAATTAAGTATCCTCCAGGCAAGGTTGGACAAACTCTCTACCTGGATGTGGAAATGAAAGGAAAAATTGATTTAGTTGTACCAGTATGCCTTGATAGCGAATGCAAAAACAGCACTATATATGTTCATTCGGGTGATGAATGGTATGATTTAAAAGTGAACTTTAAGGAGAATGAAAATAATTTGTGGGGATACACCCCAGAGAACAGCAAATTTTGGTACATGGATGCAATAACCCTCCGTGGTGGAGATTTTAACATGGATGGATATCCAGATCTTTTGGCCTCCCTTACTCTCCACGCTGCAGAATCTACCAAGACAAAGGCTTTCTTACTTGAAAATGTTCCATGTTCTGGTCCTATTTGCAAAAACTTTGGCCGTACTTTTGCACCACAGTGGGGATCAATGAGCCCCACTAACAGTCAAACTAACATGGCTGTGTTCTATGACTTTGGGCAAGATGGAATATTAGATGTGCTCCTTGTTCAAATGGATCACCCAGATGCTGATCCTCCTACTTATCAAGTTGCAGCTTATAAAAACAGTCTTGATTATGATGCTAATTTTGTTAAAGTTATGGTTTTAACTGGTAGAAACAGTACTCAAACACCTCCTAATAGAAATCCCCTCAGCAAGAAGAAGATCAAAACTTTCGGTACTAATTTACCAGGGCCAACTATATCTTATCGTACAACCACTCAGGAGGGAAACCCAAGAGAAGCTACTTCATCTCAACTTCCCCAGTCTGCTCACTTTTCTTTGGGCCTGCCTTACTCCATATTTGGATTAGGACGCACTCCTAATTTTGTTGATAAATTGTCAGTTGGCATGTCAGGGCAAATGCGAGATTGGACTCAAATTATCCCCAACTCACAAATGGTAGTTATTCCTGTTGGTGAGCAGCCTTCTCAGTGGAAAGCTCAGTTGTTTGTCACTCCAAGCAAACTTGTGCTGATGAGTGTTGTTGCTCTTTTAGGAACATGTGCTATTATCACTTTGATAATTGGTGCTTTATACTGGAAAGAGAGGAGGGAAGATAAACTAGAGCGATTGCAAGAGGCTCACAGGTTCCATTTTGATGCTATGTGAAAGATTCTCACTAATATTAGGATATGCAATTTCTATTGTCTGTGATTGAAACTGAATTTCAGCTGAACGATGGCTCCAATAATCTTGTTGCATCGCAGTGTATAATATCTAATCTAATGAATGCCTCACTTTATAAGGTATTGTGCAGTTAAATTTTTCTTTTAATAATAAAATTGACCAATATGCTTGTGCATTGAAAATTTGTTTGGAGAGAAAGCATCAAGAGATATGTGCACTTTTAATGCTCTTGATTTCAATTTATCTTGACTGGAGATAGTTTGAGGAAACCTAGTCCTGCTGTAATACAAGGCTTAAGCTTTTTTGTTTTATTCTTAGACACTTTTTACTCTGGGATGTATTTGTAGGATATAACCAAACAACATAAAAGTAGTAAATTGTATTGAATCAATGTGTATGTTTTACTATATTGGGTGGGGGTGGGGTGGGGGGGTATTTAATTTACTTATACATATTCACATTTTTGCAGCTGCTTTTCTTTCAATAATACGTAAAGTATACTGTAAAGTTGTTGAACATTAGTTTGTTAGTAGCATTTTTATTTATCTTGATATTATAATGTATTCGTGAATGTTCTTAAAATGTGTAAATTTTTCTTGGATCAGAGATGTATCTTTTGATTTAGTATTATTAAAATTCACTCACGTCATGGAGTTACACTTCAAAGTGAAAATTTGCATTCCAGGGTCTCTTTGGGTCACTGTTGGTTTTGTTAATGTGCAAGTACTTATACCGTTTATTATATAAGAGATATATTAATAAGATTATCAAGTTATCAAAAAATGGTATCATCTATGGCATCACACTTGTTTTCAAAATATAAAAATGGATCTGTTTTGGTATCTTGGTTGAGACTTTCTGACTTCACTTACTGTGACACTTAAATGCATTGTTAAACTGTGCCATGTTCTTTGGGACTTGACAGAATTGAGAATTAAATTTTTCTTAGTTAACAATATACTCTACTGCGGAATGTTGAAAATCAGGTTCTTCACGTCCTGTTCTTTGTTTATTATTATTGTATAGTGATTGTGGAGGTACATACTGTGCATTTTTGCTGTGATGAGTGGTATTTATTTTTTGTCATACATTGTGCAAAGTCAATCATTGATAAAGTATTTTTTGTTGGAATTTCATGGCTACAACTATTTATTTTATCCTACCCCTCTGTTATCCAAAAAGTACTTTTTACCAGTGCTAATTGGATACAAAATAATGAAGTTTCATTCAAAAGGCTAGTCTGAGCCTAAAAAGATTTGAATCAAGAACAAAAATGCAGCACTAAAGGAAATTTACTGAGAAACCCAATTGTGGAGAAAGATATAATGCTAGTTAGTGCACATCGTAGTTATTTGTTTACTGATTTTGTACATTATCTTGGCATTCTGTTTATAGGAGGTTGTCCCGTCACCAAGCAGCACTGTACCTAGACTCTCTCTTAAGAGATCATTACTCAAGCCCCGTACAGATACTCCTACTGACAAAACTGGTAAATTCATCAAAATATTTTTTAAATGTTATTTTGTAGCTATAGTGCACTTTTATAAACCATAAATTTCCTCAGATGTGGACTATAACACACTGATTCATGAAATGAATGATAGAAAGGGTGTGTACCACATGATCCTGGATTCCACATTGACGCCTTCCTTGGAAAATGCCAGCATGCCATCTCCACGCTACACGCAGGTTGCTTGGTCTCCACCTGGACTGCTACACTATGGAAGGCAAGTTGAATGGCTTTTATTCAGATCATGAGAAAAGTTTTTTTCTTTTTCATGTTCAAACATTGCAAATATTTGAGGATGAGTTCCACAAAGTGATACTGGTTTAATAATCTTTACTGTTTCACAGGTGCGTACTGGCAACATTAACAAATTATGGATCGGCCAAGGTGGAGTATGCCTGTAATAGACATTGGCGTCTGGTCATTGATGTGTCAGAGAGTTGGGCTGCAGTGTGCCGCCTTGGCTGGGAAACCGGAGCTCTGTCCCAAGAGGAACAATACAAAGAACTTTGCAGGCGAGAGGCTCAGCTGAGGGTTGTTGGTGCGTCAAAGATTTTTATCTGTGTATTAGGTGGCCCCTGTAACTTCTACTTTCCTTCTTTTTTATTTCAAGGGGGTGAAATTATCATTAGTATCTCTTTAACATCCCTTTACAATTTTGAACTTAGTTAAGAATCAATGACATAAGTGCCTCGAAAAAGATAAAATTATTTTCACATGGCTCAAGTACACAATAACGTTCAATCGATTAAATTTAACTAAGTAATAAACCACTCTTGCAGCAATCGCGTGGAGCGGGCTGCGCGGCAGGCCCAGCGGCCAGCACTGCCTGCTGGCCGCGGCACACCGGGACGGCGTCGTGTCCTTCTGGCAGGTGCCCGTGGTGCGCTTCAGGCCGGTCGCCTCGGCGGGGGGTGACGTGGGCGACGTGGGCGACGTGTCGACCGTGACGGCGGGCTTGTCCTTCACCGTGGACACGGGCACAGCGCTGGGCCCGGGCCGGCCGCTCATCACGGAGCTGCACTGGATGTCGCTGGGCACGGATCACATCCTGGTGGGCGACAGCAGCGGCCGCGTGCGCATGTGGGACACGTCGGCGGCCCAGCAGGGCCAGCAGGGCCAGCAGGGCCAGCAGGGCCAGCAGGGCCAGCAGGGCCAGCAGGGCCAGCACGATGGCCTGGACATCTACCCGACGCCCGACCGCATCAAGGTGACCAAGCTGCTGGACAGCGCGCTGCCCGGGGGCCGCGCCGAGCGCCTGGTCGTGATCCTCAAGTGCAGCTACCTGGTGGTGGCGCTCATCGACGAGACGGGCCACACCCTGACCACGGCCGTCAAGGACTTCAAGCACGTGGCCCTCACCGGCGTGGTGCTCACCAAGCCCGGCAGCATGGTGCTGAGCGCGCGCGAGGGCGCGTTCTACCTCGTCGAGTGCTCCGTGGTGGACGAGGGCCTGCGCACCGCCGTCACCGCCGTGCCCACCTCGCTCACCTTCACGAACAGCTCGTGCTTCGGGCTGGCCGCCTCCAACCACCGCCTGATCTGGGCCGTGGCCGCTTCGTAAGCAACCCTGCAGCAACCCCTACTCTAAAAGCCCCTCGTCTCCCAGATGGTTTCAAATAACCCTTCCGTATGCCTGTTTCAGCGTCTCCAAAATGTACGACCACCTGGTGGTCAAGCAGCCCACCACGTTCTACTTCATGACCATCATCGACCCCTGCACGTCCGGGCCCATGCTCGTGAACAACGAGAGCTTGAGCCTCACCCGCCACCTGGACTGTCTGGAGATCCTCAGGTGGGTGTACTACTGCGACACAGGCTGCTTGATAGATTCAGCTCACCGTGATTGCTCTCTCTCTCTCTTCGACAGGATACAATGCCAGCGGCAAGGCCTGCGACCTCCCATCGACGCGGCGGTGGAGAGGCTGGACCCGCTCACCAACTACCAGCTGCGCCTGTCCTTGTGGCTCACATCCATCGCGCTCACCATCAACAATGACATGGAGGAGGACCAGACGCGCCGGCTGGTGAGCAAAGCAAAAGCACACTTTTATAGAACATGAAGGTTACGGCCAGGTTGGCGTTGACGGTTCTATTCTCTGCCAGAGGGATCTCTACAACCGGATGCGGCAGCTCCTGTTCGCGCGGAACGCGTGCGACCGCCTGAACCAGATTCTGTCCTCGGTGATGTCGCGCGGCGCCACGGAGGAGGAGCTCAGCTCCGTCAACCTGCTGCGCACCTGGATGGTGGCCTTCACCCAGACGCCCGTGGCGGCCCAGCACTGGACGCTGACGTGCGAGCGCGTCGCCGCCACTCTCGGCGGCTCGCAGGGCCTTGACGAGCTCATCAAAGAGACCTGCCAGATCTGCGAGTCCGAGGTGGAGAACACGTGGATCCAGGGCGAGCAGTGGATGTTCGCCACCTGCACCCGCGGACACTCCGTGTCCCGCTGTTCCCTCAGCCTGCTCCCCTGCGTCACGCTGCCCTACTACAAGTGCCACACCTGTCGCATCCCCGCGCACCCGGATTTCGGTGAGTCTGACACGCTGTGTCCCCTCCCTTTGCTCCATTTATTTCATCCCCGTCAATATTTAAAAACTTAATGCTTTTTTCTAGTGACCGACTCTTCACCCCTTTGCGTCTTTTGCGACGGCATTCTCCGGCCGGACGAGTCAGTTTCGATGGAAAGCCGAACGTAGGCCTCAGTAGGGGGGCAACACTTGATGTACCTGAATTTTAGCTAGGAACCTTTTAGAGCTTAACCCGAGCGGACCTTCGCATCTACTTTTATTTTAAATGTGTATTGTAATATTTTTTACATCAAGCAACTACTGTACATTAGTGTTTTTATTATAATTTTTACCATTGGAACTGATTTTTCTATGATATCAATAAACTAAACTATGATTATTATACCACAATATACCGCTTTATTCTTTTACTTTTACTTTAACGGGTGCATTTTTGAATACGAGTAGGCAAGCGCGCAACACTTTGCGTTTTCAAAGAAACACGCATTATATCCTAATGAGAAATGCATTTTCTTCAACGTAGAAATAGTCAAATAAAAGCAGTTTTGTCCCCACACACTAAAAGCTTATGAACATTTTTATTCATAGCTTACTGAGTTCTGTGTACGTGCTCTGCTTATGCATTTTTCAATACGTCAGTATGAACAAATTTGGCTTTTAGTGTGTATAATCCACATATTTTTGATATTCCGACGTCGACTCAACGTTGAATCAACTTTATCACTGTTTGTATCTCGGTTTGTATGCAACTCTCGGGGGTGCTCTATATAGATGGCCGACTGGCACTTCCGTAGTTAGGGGCCGTCCAGAAAGTACGTCCGTCCTTCGTCGTTAGGCGTTTCGACCTTGCGAAGACCTACGGTAATTAAGTGAAAGTAAGTAAGTTACTACGTTAGTTCGGTCAGCAGCCTCGCACGCAAGCTCTCAAAGCGCCTGCTGGGTAGGCAACATATTGCATCCGATGCATAGGTGTATTGCGGGCTGGCCTACCCGCAGACTCGCAGGCGCTGGGCTCCCGTAATTTGCCGCGTGAATCTGAGAATACTGGACGTACTTTCTGGCCATCCATAATGCTATCGTATTCGCACGTGCGGGTGGGTTAATCAGCCACCTTGTACAGGTTACATCTAGGAAACCCCTCAGATGCGCCAACACCTCTGTTTGGAAAAATGGGCCTGTCCGGGATTCGAACCCAGGACCTCTCGCACCCGAAGCGAGAATCATACCTCTAGACCAACAGGCCAGCAGCCATCACCCCCACCTGCCTGGAATTTTGCTCCCCCGACGCGAAGCGGGGTGGTCCGGACTCTCTCTCCTCCGCGCTCCGGGCCGTGGGAGGGGGTAGAGACGCGGTGGGGGCTGCTGGCGTCCCACCGCCGCCGTGCCCGCGGCCGAAGGCGCTGGGCCGAGGACCATCATTACGGAATCGCCGTATCTCCACGTCAGATCGCCCCCCCCCTCCCCCCATTTTCCCGCCTTTCCCAACGCCAGAAAAAAACATTAGAGCCGTCACCAAAAGAAGGGCGGAAGCAATCGCGAGCGGAGAGTGAGGCCAGTTGTGACGACAGGGAGTGGTGGGCGGGCCCGGCGCAGCCCGGCGCCAGCGGGTGAGGAGGCTGCGTGGTGGGGCGCGGCCGCCGGGCCGGCGCAGGCAGGACCCCTCCGGGCACCCGCGCCGCACTCCGCCGCCCCCC